AAATAGTTAAATTACATCTTCATTGTGCTGGTAGAAAAATAATTACAAACCTAGAATTTTATACCCAGTAAAAAATCTTTCAAGAAGGAAGAAACACAAACATTTTATACAAAGACAAACCAAAAAAAACATGCCATCAGCAGATAGCCTCTAAAGGGATTTTAAAGGATACACCTAAAGGAAAAGCAAACTAGTGTCTAATGGAAGGTCTGAGATGCAATAAAAAATACTGAGCAAAGAAAGTGGTAATTAAGACTTAAGGAAAAGGTGGAGGCATAGGTAAGTACATTTTGCATCCTCACACAACCAAAGGAAGGACAATAACAAATTTAAAAACAAAAAATAACCAGAACTTCCAGAAAACCAAACTGTATGAAAATCTGAGAACCAAGGAGTTAAAGAAGAAACATTCAACTTCTGGCCAACATGGAGGCATAGGTGGAAACACTGTGCCTCCTTGTATGACCAAGTTTAAAGACAACAAAGTTTTAGAAACAAAAACGCAGCCAAAACACAGAAAATTGAACTGCATGGAAGTCTGACAATAACGAACCATTCAGCCAGACTGGTAAGAGGGGCGCAGTCAGTGGTGAAGTGGGGTCAGGCAGGAAAGATCTGCCTGACTGACCCAGGAGCACAGGCGGAGGTTGGCAGATCCCAGGCGTGGGGTGGCAATGGGCATACCCAGTGAGGACACAAGGCGGCTGGCTGACCGTGGTCACACATTCAAGAGCAGATAAAGCAAGCGAAGGTGAGAGCAGTGAGACAGACTGCTCAGGCTAAGTCCCCAGAGATGGGAATTGGAGCCTGAAAGCACCAACTGGAAAGACTTTCAGGGTCGAGGTGCCGGGAGAGACTCTCAGAGAGTTTGTTGGATAGACCCACAGGGTCCTGGAGGGTACACAGGCCCACACACCCAGGAGCCAGCACCAGGGGAGCCTGGTTTGCTTGCGGGAAACAGCGGAGGGGACCAAAATCCGAGAACAGAAAAAATGTCATTGCCCCTCTCTGACCCTGCCCCCACATACATCACAGCCCAGCCACTGGGTTGCCCCACCCTGGTGAACACCTAAGGCTCTACCCTCATACTTAACAGCACAAACAGACCAAAACATTATGGCTCAAGAACAGCTCAAAGCCCCAGAGCCAATAATTCTAAGTAACCAAGACATAGCCAACCTATCAGATGCACAGTTCAAAACACTGGTAGTCACAGAATTGCTTGAGTATGTTTGCAAAAAAGAGGAAAAAGTGAAGGCTACACAAACTGAAATAAAGAAAAATGTATAGGGAACCAACAATGAAGGGAAGGAAACCAGGACTCAAATCAATGGTTTGGAGCAGAAGGAAGAACTAAACAACATCCACCCAGAACAAAATGAAGTAACAAGAATTCAAAATAATGAGGAAAGGCTTAGGAAACTCTGAGACAACTTGAAACATATGAATCATAGGGGTGCCAGAAGAAGAATAGAAAGAGCAAGAAATTAAAAAGTTGTTTGAAAACAAAATAAAGGAGAACTTTCCTAATCTGGCAAAAAAAAAAAATAGGGTTCCAGGAACTCCAGGAATCTCAGAGAGTCCCAAAGAATTTGGACCCTAGGAAGCACACACCAAGGCACACCAAATTACATTCTCTAAGACTAAATATGAGGAGACAACCTTAAAAGCAGCAAGAGAATGCCCATAAGACTGTCCGCTGATATCTCAAAAGAAACCTTGCAGGCAAGAAGGGGCTGGGAAAAAGTATTCAACGTCATGAAGGGCAAAGACCTTCATCCAAGATTACTCTATCCAGCAAAGCTATCATTTAAAATGGAACAGTAGATAAGGTGCTTCCCACATAAGGTCAAGTTAAAGGAGTTCATCATCACCAAGCTCTTATTCTATGAAATGTTACAGGGACTTATCTAAGAAAAAGAAGATCAAAAACTGAATAGTAAAATGACAACAAACTCACAACTATCAACAACCTAACATAAAAAAAAAGAAAAGAAAAACAAAACCAAAAATGAACTAAGCAAGCAACTAGAACAGAAGTTTCACAGAAACAGAGATCACCTACAGGGTTATCAGCAGAAACAGGGAGGGGGAGAGAGAGAGTGGGGGAAAAGTCCAAGAAATGAGAAGCATAAATGGTTGGTATAAAACAGACAGGGGGAGGTTAAGAATAGTATGGAAAATGGAGAAGCCAAAGAACTTAGAGGTATGTCCCACGGACATGAAGTAATGGGGCAGAGTGCAGATGGGAGGGGGGTACAGGATGAAGGGGAATAAAGGGGAAAAATGGGACACTGTAATAGCATAATCAATAAAATATATTGAAAAAAGAAAGCAGTAATTGTATAGGTAAATCTTAAAAATCAGTGATTATATAAAATAATTATGTCTTGTATTATATTTAAAAGAAAAGCTAAAGCAAAAAATAATTAAATAACCCTCTTTCACAGCATATACACTCATATATACCAAGAGATTAAAAAATGTCAGCAAAAAAAGTTGTACGTGTTAAGTTCACAGCAGCATTATTCATAATAGTCAAAAATTGGAAGGACTGAGACTGGCCAAGATGGAGGAGTAGGTGGAAACACTGTGCCTCCTCTCACAACCAAATTTAAAGACAACAAAGATTTAGAAACAAAAACACAATCAAACAGACAGAAAAGTAAACTGTACCAAAGTCTGACAACAACAACCATTCGTCCAGACCAGTAAGAGGGGAGGAGTCCTTGGCAGCAGAGAGGGGCCCGGGCAGGAGGAGGCGGTGACTGGCGAGCCAGGTGGGCGCAGACGGAAACACAGTAAGGCTCACAAGGCGGCTGGCTGGCTGGCTGACTTCGAACACACATTTGCACACGGAGAAACAAGGCAGGTTTAAAAATGGTGAGACAGACTGCGCAACCCAGGGCCCCAACAACCGAAAATAAAGCCTAAAAGCACCAATTGGAAAAATGTTCGGGGGCTGAGGTGCTGAGAGAGGCTCCTAGCCCCACAGGAGAGTTCGTTGAAGAGACCCACAGGGTCCTAGAATGAACACAAGCCCACCCACCCAGGAACCAACACCAGAAGGGCCCAATTTGCTTGTGGGAAACAGCAGAGGGACCAAAATCCTAGAGAGAGCAGAAAAAACTCCATAGCTCCCTCTCTGACCTCGCCCACAGTCACAACCCAGCTACTGGGCTGACCCACCCCAGTGCACACCTAAGGTTTTGCCTCTCATATGTAACAGGCGCAAACACACCAAAACATTATGGCTCAAGCAGAAGAACAGCTCAAAGCCCCAGAGCCAATACTTCTAAGCAACCAAGAGATAGACAACCGATAGGATGCACAGTTCAAAACACTGGTGATCAGGATGCTCACAGAACTGGTTGATTTTAGTCACAAATTAGATGAAAAAAACGAAGGCTATGCTAAGTGAAATAAAGGAAAATGCACAGGGAACCAATACTGATGGAAAGGAAACTCTGACTCAAATTAATGGAATGGACGGACCAGAAGGAAGAAAGAAACAACCAAACAGAAAAGAATAAAGAAACAAGAATTCAAAAAAAAAAAAAAAAAAAAACGAGGAGAGGCTTAGGAACCTCCAGGACATCTTTAAAAGTTCCCACATCTGAATTATAGGGGTACAAGAAGGGGAAGAGAAAGAGCAACAAGTGGAAAACTTATTTGAACAAATAATAAAGGAGAACTTCCTCATTCTGGCAAAGGAAATAGACTTCCAGGAAATCCAGGAAGCTCAAAGAGTCCCAAAGAAGTTGGGCCCAAGGAGGAACACACCAAGGCACATCATAATTACATTAGCCAAGATTAAAATGAAAGAGAGAATTCTAGAAGCAGCAAGAGATAAGGGGACAGTCACCTACAAAGGAGTTCCCATTAGACTATCAACTGATTTCTGAAAAGAGACCCTACAGGCAAGAAGGGGCTGGAAAGAAGTATTCCAAGTCAGGAAATCCAAAGACCTACATCAAGATTGCTCCATCCGGCAAAGCTTTCATTTATTTTATTTTTATTTATTTTTTATTTTTTATTTTTAAAATTTTATTTAGTTATTTTTCAAGTACAGTTTTTAGAATGGAAGGGCAGACAAAGTGCTTCTCAGGTAAGGTCAAGTTCAAGTTTATCATCACCAAGCCCTTATTCTATGAAATGTTAAAGGGACTTATCTAAGAAAAAGAAGATAAAAAAGATGAACAGTGAAAGGACAGCAAACTCACAGTTATTAACAACCACACCTAAAACAAAAGCAAACCAAGCAGGCAGCTAAAACAGGAGTGGAGCCACAGAAATGGAGATCGCATGGAGGGTTAGCAATAGGAGAGTGGGAGAAGGAGAAGGGGAGAGAAGGTACAGAGAATAAGTAACATAGATAGTGGGGAGAAAATAGACAGGGGGAGGACAAGAATAGTAAGGGAAATGTAGAAGCTAAAGAACTTGTGACACATGGGCATGAACTAAAGGGAGGGAATGGGGCGAAGGCAGTGTGCAGGGTGTAGGGGAATAAAGGGGGAGATGGGACGACTGTAATGACATAATTAATAAATATATTTAAAAAACATAAACAGTTGATTGACACATATTTTATGTTTTATGGATTATATGCTATATTCTTACAGCTTATAATAAATAAGCTACAGAAAGAAAATGTTATTAACAAAATCATAAGGAAAAGTATTTTATGTTTTATGGATTATATGCTGTATTCTTACAGCTTATAATAAATAAGCTACAGAAAGAAAATGTTATTAACAAAATCATAAGGAAAAGAAACTACATTTACAGTCCTATATGTATTTATTTTTTAAAAATCTACATATAATTGTACCTGTGTAGTTCAAATCCATGTTGTTCAAGAGTAAACTGTGTGTGTGTGTTTGTATTTTAACATTCACATATGCACATGAGCTAAGTATGAGGACTAGCAATGGATAATGAAATAGTGAGAAAATGCTGTTTTGTATGTTGCTGGTATGTTCCTAGAAGACTCTACTTACCAGGCGGGTATTTACTACAGGAAACAGCAAGGCTAGAAGAGCTCCATTCAACATGTGCATCTGTAGCCTGGAGAGGAAGAAAGATAAAGTCTAGGTCATACTCAGACTCTGATGGATGGGCACACAAGAATGTGTCAGGTTATCATGCCATATCAGAGAACATGTAAACAAGTGGCTCCCTGGAAAACAATGCTGGCTAATAAATAAAAAGATGCATTATTGTATTAACTATAACATTCTGAAGAGCATCATCACCACCTCAAAATCTCCCACACATATCTGGAACACACCTTGGTTACAATACTTCATTACATAATGGGCTCTGAGCTCCCTAAACATCCAGTCAGTCCCAGTCAATGGCTTCAACTGCTGAAGCCATGGTGGCATTAGAAAAGGGTAACTGCAGTGGCCAACTGCTCTGTTATTAGAGACCTATTTCTTATAACAGGGCTAATTAATTCACACAATTAATTAAAAGATTAATTCCTCTGATCCTTTTCCCCTAAAAGGCAACCTGGTCATAAAAAGGCTAGGCTACAACCCAGAGAGCTAACTGCAGTGTTTTGCAAATCATTCCCCCACCTTCTTAGACATGCCTTCAAGGGCTGCTATTGGAGGTGAACAGGGTAGAAGTGGCAGTCTTCCAGGCTTCCTTTGATCTATTTTACATATTGGGCTCTGTGACTCTAAAGGAAGATGTGGTGGTGAGAAAAGTGGTTGCCTCAGCATCCTGTAGTGATACTGTTTCCCAATACCACACTGGTTAAAACACATACTAGAAACCCCTTATAAATTGAAAACGAATCAGAAACAAACTTTACGTGTGAGGGCTCTTAGAATGGACTTAAGCAGCTTTCTTTTTTTCTATATGGCAGATGTTTTTTATTTCTTCAAATTTATTTTATCAGGTGTGACTGAAATAAAAAATATATTGAGTCTCATCATCATCATGGAAAGGGCTTTAAGAGAAACCTGATCAGATGAACATTATTGCTTGCTATTTTCAACCAGTGAATAGTTGCCACTGACAGACAGCCAACACTGTCAAGAATGCTCAAGGTATGTTACATAATACAACAAGACTGTTCATGGGAGTGGGAGGTAGGGGATGGGGGAGGGAAGACTAGGAAATAACTTATGTGAACTTCTTGATTTCATCACACAAAACAAGCATGAAAGCATCACCTATACCTCTGAGAACACTGTACCATGCACCCCTAGAAAAAGCTTTGCAGCCTTCACCATGAGCAATCTTACTCCAGCAGTTGAGTGTGCCTGTGGAAATTATATCAGTTCCTTTGCACCCTAACTGCATCACCATGCAATGACTTTTAGTGTCAAATGGCTAGGAAGTCAACCCAGCCACTGCTGTGATGGACTGTGCAGACATCCAGCTGATGAAGATTGAGTATTCTTTGGATCTGGAAGCATTCCTTTTGTAGTGTCATAGATAGAGAAGTAGGCTGCTCAGTACATGATGATACCCTGGACAGACACATTAAAGCCTTGGTACAAGCCCCTGATCCCATCAGATTTGTAGAACTTAATCAGGCAGTCACTGAGGCCTCTGAGTTACCTTTCAACTCCAGCTCTGCCTACATCAGCTGCTAGACGGGTATGGGCAAAATCAAGAGGATACACAACATACAGTGAGGTGACCCCAGTGGCACCGATGCCAGATTTCCTTCAAAGTAGCACCAAAACTGGGTTCTTTTGCCCACAACACCTAGGAAGATCTTCTTGTATTTATCTTTAAAGGCAAAGTTGGGAGCCTGGGTGGGGAAGTAGCTGATGACATTGGCCAGGTTACTGCACCAGAAAGACAGGACTCCCTGCTCCTTGGAGATACACAATGTAATTTATAATGCCCTCGTATTGCTTATCTGTGGTGATTTGCTTGCTGGCATGCTGCACCTGCAGAAGCAGCTTGACCCACTCAGTGGGCACTACAGCTATCTTGGAAATGGCCACAGCCACTCAACCTGCCAGGAAGGCCTTGGCAAAGGACACAGCAGCATTTGTCATCTAGAAAGGAAAGAAGTGCGTGACTGTGGAACTGGACTCATAACCAGTTGGGACTCCGGGCAGTAGCAAGCATCTTTCTTTATGACTAAAGACAAATGGTCCCTTACTACTAAGAGAGAAGCAAAGAATGATAGGCTTTACCTCCTACAGAATAGCTGATTTGATGGGTCATGAACAATCACTGCTAAGTCAACATGCCTCCTAGACCTCAAGCAAATCCCTCTTGCTCTAGCTCTCTCACTCTTTATCTCTTATATGTACACTAACACAGCAACCCTGAGATACCAGGATTTCTCCTATACCAAGGATAGGGAAGCAATTCATACCCTGAAAACCCCTAGGTCTTGAGCTCTTCTCTTGGAGCTCACAGATATGTGCCTAAGATGAAGAGAACTTACAGGAAGACCAATGGAATAGCACATTATCCCCAAGGCTGCTTTTTATTCTTGCCAGTGTATTTCTTACCAATGCTCTTGTCATCAGTGTCATGAGAATGGTGTATCTTAATTGCTTTATACAAACACTATCACTTAATTTTTATAGCAATCTTATCAGATAGGTACTTTTCCCATTTTGTTGATGAAAAAACCAGGTTTAAAGAAGCAAAGTGACCTGATCAACAGCACACTTAAGAGACAAGATTCAAATGCAAGTTTATCTGACTCCAGCCCCAAAACTCTTACATCCCTCTTGGGGTCTTCTATCAGAGTCTTCCTGCCATGGCCACTTGCAAAAATGACCTCAGGTAGAGTTGGGAACACTCTTTTCCTTACTTTTGCCTGTAGGGTTCTTTCTACCACCTCCATCATCCACTCTGAGACTTTTAATATGCTTTCAGGGAATGTCCAGAGGAGAATGCTCTTAAGTCATAACAGGCCATCACAAGCTGACAGTTTTAATAGGACTTTGCTTGGTCCATCATAGGGAGGAGATACACCAATTCAATGACACTCCTACCTCCCCAGGCTGGGGGGTTACCAATGCTTTTACAACAGGTCACTTGTGGGGATACTTACTGCTCTAACAAACTGACTGCTGAAAACTCAGGCTTAAGCCTCATTGCCTACAGAAGGGGTCATTAACAGAAATTCCAGGACTCAGGTGAAGTACAGTCTAGCCTGTCTTCCCCTCCTATGTTACAGCCACAGCATAAACCTCTGCATAATCCTATCAACATAGACTGTGGTGTCATCTGTCTTAAATGTTGGCATTTACACAAGGCCAATTAGAAACTGGGGCATCAAAAGTTAAATCTTGAGGATGACGGAATTGATTCCAAGAGCTGTGGAATGCCAAAGATAAAGAAGACAAAACGAACATCAAGATTCAAAATGACTGCTCTGGCTGGTGTGGCTCAGTGGATTGAGTGCTGGCCTGCAAACCAAAGAAAGGGTCACCCATTCAATTCCCAACTGGGTTACAGGCCTGGTCCCCAGTGGGGACATGTGGGAGGTGGCCACACATTGATGTTTCTTTCTCTCTCTTTTCTCCCTCCCTTCCTCTCTGTCTAAAAATAAATGAAATCTTTTTTAAAAAAGGTCTTGCATATCAATAATTATAAAAAATATCTAACATATGTTGAGCATTTTGATGAGCCAATCATGGAGCTAAGTATTCAAATGCATCATCTTATTTAACCTTCACAGATTTTAGTATAATCATCATCTTCAACTGCATAGCTGAGAAAGCCAAAGCACTAAGTGATTAAGTGACTTGCCTAAGACCACACAGATAATAAACAGCAGAGGGAGAAGTCATACTCAGCTCTCCCCAAGTTTCAAGCCCATTTTCTTGTTACTGTACCCTGCTTCAAATTTGACATGAACATTACACATGTTCTGAGTGTGTGTCAGTGTGTCAGACTGCAGGCCAGGTCAGTAAAAATTCCAGGATGCCAGTGAGGCAGGAAAGGTCATGCCTAAAGGCACCAAACACCTTGTGTCTTTTCTGGCAAAATTGTTCCAATTACACGCTGCAACTGCCCTCTACAGACCCACTGCACAGCCCGACAGGTAAGCAACTGACCACTCTATACCCACCTCCATCCTGATACCAGATTTCTACAGGGCACATAAAATGGACAATGGGCCAGTAGAAGGTCCTGTGAGAATTCCCTCATCTGTACAATGGAAACAATAATAGTACTAACTCATAAGATTATTATAAGGAGTCAATAAGTGTAAAGAGCTTAGAAGAGTACACAGTACATTGTAAGACAAACGATACATAGTAAGACAGAGTCATTTATTAGCCTAGTAACTCTGAACAAGTTTCTTAAAATATGTGTGTTAGTTTCCTCGATCTTAAAATGGGTCTAATCACAGTACCTAGCTGAAATGATTGCTGGAGAACTTAATGAGATATGATCACATAAAGTGATCAACAAAATGCCTAGAACATAGTATACACACAATACATGATAGTTATTATTGTCCTTAATAAAGCAATGTAAATGAATATCAAATTTATTATTCATAACAATTAAAGCTATTAAAACATTAAAGCTATTAAATGAGATTATTTACAATTCAATTTAGCACTTGATTACAACCAAGAACCAAAAGTTATGGAACAGATGACAAATTCTATGAGTGGCGACAAAGGCAAATCCATAGAGAAGAACTCTTACAGAAAATTATATAATTTTATGAGCTACAAAAAAATAAAAATACAACATGTCAAAAAGGATGAGATGTTTGTTTATAAAAAGAATGGTCTCAAATCAGTAATCCAAAATTCCACCTTAAGAATCCAGGAAAAAATGAAAAAAGAAAAAGAAGGAATAATTAAAATAATAAAGATAAGGGCAGAAGTCAATGAAATTAAGAGCAAAAACAATAGAGAATATCAATGAAACCAAAAGTGTATCTTTTTAAAAAATCAATACAATTGATAAAACTCTATGCAGAATGACAAGGGTGAAAAAAAGAGAAGAAAAAAGTCGACCAATATCAGAAGGGAAAGAAGTGATATCACTCCAGACCCCAGGAATTATAGGGATACTAAGGAAGATATGAATATTTCTATGCACATGAATTTGAG